AGCCCGAACCTTGTCAGGTTGGATTAGAGTGAGGGTAGCTCCTTTGTCTCTCAGAGCCCGATCATCCATCCCATCTACGGTGACCCACTGTCGATGATGGACGCCGTTGTCACTTGAATGAACCCATTGTTCATTTTCAGCATGGTGTTATATAGAGTTTCTCATTTTCCATTACCATCTATTGGATATGTTGAAAGTTAAGGAAAGTGCAAATTACCATGTCCAACAGTAAAATTCTGTAGCATGGAAACAATTGTAAGTCATCATTTTTACTTGCAGACATTTTAAGCCAATTTGTATTTAAACAACTGTAACAAGCAGAGAAACGTGCCCTTTATTAGTTACATTTGCAGTTAGTATCTGGTTTACTTGGTGCACTTTTACCTGTATACACTTCATTATTATTATTATTATTATTATTATTATTTATATAGCACCAACAGATTCTGTAGCGCTTCACAATATTATAAGAGGGGGGGATTTAACCATAAATAGGACAATTACAAGAAATCTTACAGGAACGATAGGTTGAAGAGGACTCTGCTCAAACAAACTTACAGTCATTACACTTGCTTATATTCTAACAGACACAAGCCATATAATGACCCTAAAAAAGCCTTTCCTAAATCAAATCTGTGCCTGTTATATGCTTAAACCCAGACAATACTAGACTTGTGCACTGTGAGAAAAATTTGGTGTGGCTAAATCATTTTTCCCAGGTTTTGGCCGTATCGTGGTTTAGCTCGGCAGAATATTGATACACAAAACCAGATTTGGAAATAAATCAGATGATCCAAATGGGTATGGATATGGGCCAATCAATGTATTCATTATTTAATATTGTGTAATTGTTTTGCAGTACACTGATAGGAACATTGTCCTGCCATTTGATCACAGATGAAGAGAGAAAAGGTAACCAATAGAGGGAAAAAAGGGTGAACCGTAAAAAAAATCTATATTTATATATTATATATTTAAACAATATATAATACATACAAATGTAGATGTTTTTTCACTACTCCACTTTTGTCCCCTCTATTGCTCACTTCTCACTTGATTGTAAATAAAATGAACTAGTGACTGTACCCTAGCTATCAATCAATTTTTTTCATATTAATTAACTCTATTTTTCATCACGGGCTGAATTCAGAATCAAAACCAACATATTTGACAATTGTGCAACTCTTTTGGTTTATGATTCTTGTACATTTTCACTCAGAGTTTCATAATTCACCCTATAACCCAAGTTGCCCAAATCCAGGTGAATTGTAGTTCAGACTGAAGCAAGTCTCTTGGAAATACCTGAATCACAATGTGACTTTGCATGTCAATTCCTTGTTATATAAAGGGAAATTTTGATCATATGTGTGTGTGTGTATATATATTGTTTTCCTGTTTCTGTTTTAGCGCTGAACGTGAATTTGGCATGTGAAATGTGGAGATGGAAAAGTCAGAGAACGGTTTACATATACATGTAACCATGGTATGGTTCTAAGATCTTGGCATCAATTTGTTACCATTTTAGGACATCTTGTGGATCTTGAAGAACTGCTGGTATTTTATGTATGGTATTTTATGTAATTGTGTTTAAAAGCACATATAAAATAATAGTTCTGTTGTTTGTATATTTGTTTCTTAAACTCACATAGACAAATCCTCTACTTTAGAAAACATTTTCTTCTAGCCTCATACCATCTTCTTTTTTTCCCCATGTCACCTCAACCCCCCACAGGGTCATTTTCCAAATCCCCAACTGTGGATTTTTTTTGGCGTAATCTCACCTCTAGTTATATCATCGTAACTTTCTCCTCTCCCAGTGCCATCTTACCACCAATAAAGCTCCAAACAGCTCTACCCTACTACATTTTCTTCTACATCTCTCACGCCCTCTCAGGGGCCACATTCCACTCTCACCTTCCAATTCTGCTACTTTCCCACCCTGTCAGTTGATTACTATCCCCCACAATGCCATTTCTATTGTGTACTTATACTCCACCTGCTCTTTATTGTAAACTCTTTCAAGCAGTGTCCTCATCTACAATTTGTAATTGTCTCATTTATTGTTACATTTCCTCATTTAATATTTTAAAGTGCTGTGGAATAAGTATTGTTATTAGTAATAATAATACAATCTACCCATGCTATCTTTCCAATTGTCACTTTAACACTGTAAACGAAGAAAAAAAAACCAGAGAATACAAGGATGCTGAATATGGGCAAAGGTTTAGAAAACCCAAAGCTTGCATTTTGGTTAGTCTCCACTCACTCAAAACGTTTGTTTTCACACTTATGCCATTTCAGAGAGAACTGCTTTTTTCAACTGAAAAATATTCTGCCAGGCATTGTCATGCACTCTCATGCAATGTTTTCAATAAATTTGATGTACTTTCACGGCGTTGTGACTGGTGTGCATTATGTTTTACTTCTAGTTCTACCTTATTACTTTTTTTGGTACCTTTCCATTATTTTTTTTCTTAAAATTATATTATTGTGAATAAATTCTGTTTCAATTCTCTTCTCAATCATTGGGACAAAGAAAAGCAGACATGTTGTAGATCATTTTAGAACCATGTAATAAATACAAACAGAATAGAGAACAAAAGTAAAATATACTTTCTTCAGACCAGTCTGATCAATCTCATAGAAAAAGTGTTAAGAATTAATCACTGGATATTCCTTGCTCTGTACACAATACTGCGGAAGTCCAGAGGCAATGCATTTTTAATGTTTTTCTGTCTAGTCATGTCGAGAAAACGATTTTTTTCTTTAAGAACAAGGACAAAACCACACTCTGCTCTCTTTATGCATGTACCATAGTGCTCTTGGTACACATGTGCTTTCTCTTTATATGGTGCACATTATAATGAATTTATATGTATTCTCAATATGTGAGTGTGAGAGGGAGTTTATCCCTTTTAAATATACATCCAAGGAGCTTTATTAACCAAAACAAATCTATCTTCCTGATAACAAATTCAAGTGCTGATTCACAAGTTAATCTACTGTGTACAAAAAAAAAACCAAATACACCAAACATAACTGTGTATTAATCATGTAAAAAATATCTGTCGAATTTTTGGAAACATTGTATTATAATAACTTTGAAAATATTCAATAAAAAAAAAACATTTGACAGAATCTGTTATAGCAACCTGCTAAAACAAAATAAAATATGGAGAAATCCAGGCGATAAAGATAGTTTACCATTAAAATAGTACAGATTAATTCGATAAAGTAATATTTTTTATTTATTTTTTTTAAAGAAAGAAAAATATCAAAAAGGAGGGAGGTATACCCAAATGGATGATTGATGACGATGTTTAAAATAGCACAGGCATGTAACTATTTCCTTTGGGAATTAATAGGAAACACACAGGAAGATGTAACTGTGTAATATGATTGTGTGGTTCAAAAACATTTTGGGAGTTTCTTTTTTTTTATTATTATTTGACTGGCAGACATAACCTTTAACTTAAATAAGTTTATTGCATTGTCAGTTTGACCGAGGTTTTTATATGTGTTTTCATCACTGTGATACTTATATAGCAGCCACTGTGAGATAGAGTGTGACAAAAACTGCCATTTATGAGTTCATTACATCAATTAATTTATCTTGATGACTCAAAAGCTATTGCAGAGCTATGGGCTTTCTGGTATTGCCATGTTCTTTCAACCAATTCTGACAGATGGTATATTGGTCTCATAATCTACACACTTCAGTCCTGGAATTATACAAAATAACAAATAGTATTTTAAAAAAATAAGAATCACAATTTAAAGACACAAATTAATAGCCTGTCCATTTCAAATGGATTAGCAATATGCTTACTCAGAGTGGTTAATTAGTGTAGCAGAGCATGCAAGGAAATATCATGGTAAATGTAGGAGACAAAGTGGATTTTGATATTCTATATAAATTCCTGAAAAAATGAAGACAATTGTACTAACAACAACGAAGTGCCATCTAGTGTGTGAAATGGTGATGACTCCAGGTAAGTAAAGATGCAAAGAAATGAGAAAATAAGAAGTAGACCCCAAAGACAGCACTACTACAATTAAATTAAAATCCCTCCCATATATGTGCTATATAGCTTGTTGTTACAGATGCCAACTTTGTAAGCCTACTTTAAAAAAAGGTTCAAAACATCACACACATAAAAGAAAAGAACAGGCATTAATTTGCTAGAAATAACCGAAGATGTCCAAGTTCCAAAGATATGCATAAACAGAGTCTTTAATTATTTTAGAATCTGAATTATGTGACATGGCGTTGCGGGCTTGCCAAAGCAAAACCCGACAGACCCTAAGTTATTAGATATTCAACACAATCCTGCTTACCCCTTCCTAGTTGGGGAACCAGCCCTCCCACCTTTGTTTCCTGGTGGAGCAATATACTAGCAATTTCTTTATATCATATGCATGAAATAAGAAGAGAAAATTAGTATAATACTAACCCCTCAACTGTTTTTAGAAGATTGGGACTAAAGAAACCACTTACCTAATGAAATACTAATACCAATGGAAATGCTGCATTTTCAACATGCAGTCTGTACCATAACATCACAAATTACAATACTCATAATGAATATTGGAAAAAACAGGCACAAAGAAGTTTTCAAAGCAAGGCAGATTAGATAAGTGAAAAAAAGCATTATTGTGATCATGCAAAGCACATAAAATGTTAACATAGCATACAGACAGTGTTAACATTTCCTTAACGGATCAAAAAGTTTTATGTGTGATAAGTTTAGAATCATGTGAGACATACTAAAAAAAAACAAATAAACAGGCAATATGATGATGCTAGAGTACAAAAGAGAGATTAGGTGAGTAAAAGAATATGTAATTAGATTGGAAGGCATGTTGGAGATATGTAAAAAAATGCAAAATGGAAATCGAATTAGACTAATGGAAGTAAAAAAGGCAAATAAGAAATTGTAAAATATGTACGGTACATAGAGTTTGCATTTTGTGTGTCATGTACACAAAACAGGATTGATCTCTACTTTAAGTTTAAGTATGCTTATTCTAGCGGGTCTCGGTGTCCTGGCAGGATTATAACCACCTAAATTGACTTCTTGCATCCAACTACCGACCACTAAAACTTTGCTGATTCCTGGTCGATATCAGAGTATTGGCCCCTGGCATTTATATGGCTACCCCCAAGAACATTAGCTGAGACTGAATGCCTAAGGGTCAAACAGGAACTCCATTTATTAGGGAACATGCACACATCTTTATACCAACCCTCCCCTCCAAACAAACCAGACAATTTAGTTTTTTTATGTTTATTTATTTACTCTAAGTTAGTTCAGGAAAGCTAGTATTGTAAATCTTGTAAAAAGCCACTTTATAGTTTAGCATTTACAAAATAATCCCATTTCATTAAAAAGATAAATCTAAATTAATAGAAACATGAAGGAACATGTTAATGTAATGCTATGTCTAAGAAACAATATAATTCATTTGATATATTTTAGATAGCATTGTCATTAATTAATTTTGGTATTGTTATGTTGAACAAATGATGTTCTGTATATCCGAGACAAAGACAGATGACAGATGTAGATGCATACATTGTTTTGTTTGTTTATTTGAACACAGGGGGGAAGTTAGTTTGATTTTTTTTTTACAGCTGTGAGAAAAGGCAGGCACTTTTGTTTCTGAATAACTGTACCTTTTACTCATCCTCTATCACAAATACAAATTCATGTGTTTACATTAAATGGATTTTTATGTAACTGTGAACACTGTTTTATGATATTCATGGGAGCCAAATCGAGGTACTATTAAGCCTAACTTTCTTTCAAAAAGAAGTATTCGAATGAGCTTGTTTCACTGTGACTATGGGGTGACAGCACTGTGATGCAGACCTGTACAAGAACTGAATACATTTGACTAATAGATAAAGGATTTTTACATAACACCATTACTAGAACATTTTTTGATGTTGAAGAATTCCTACAGTGGAATTCCTGAACACGATGGACAAAATCCAGTGAAAATGATCAAATTCTGAGCGTAATGGCAATACTCATATTTACTAAAGCCAAATCCGATACTGTAACGAGAATATACCCCTACACGCAGGATCCAGCTAAACAGAGGCAAATACAGAGGAGAGATACGTCTACCGGACCTTAGAATGGCCGGACTTGACGTATATGAGAGAAGACAGAGCCAGGAACAAACCGAGGTCAAGGGCACAGAGAGACAGCGTAAACTAGGACAAGCCGGGGTCTGGTACACGGAAAACAGCAAGCCGGCAAACAGTACAGATAAGGATAAAGCGAAAACGAAGTCAGAATACGAAGCCAAAGTCAATACGAGAAAACACAACTGAACACTACAAGCGCTAAAGGGAACTGAAACAGAAACCACGATAGGGCAAGGAACAAAGGGAAGAAGGTGAGTATAAATACCTAAACATCTAATTTGATTGGTCCCTGTCATATCCACGCCCCCAAAAGGTAAGTGTATGGGGAGTGTGGCATGACAGGGACCAATGGGATGCCTTTTCCAATTTAGGCACCCACTGTCCCTTTAAGAGCGCGCCCGAGACTCGCGGCGCGCTCTTAGATTCAGGCGGGACACGTGACCGCCTCACTGCATGTACCTAGCAGGATGCACATTTACAAATCTTCATTCACTTGCTGTCATACAAGAAAACAATAATGTTAAGTGCTATTTGTTCACTGCCAGCGCTAGCAGTCAGGGAGCAAACAGTTAACTAACCCTCTGCAGTCCGCGTTCTCATTTTGTGGCGGCTGGTCAGTGCTTTCTAGCCAGCTGACACATTCAATTTGTTAAAAAAATAAATACATAAAAAGCCTATGGAGTTCATGTGGCAGGTTTGAGCATGTCAACTAAACTTTTAAAACTGCTAGAAAAGGCCATATCCCAATTAGATCTAGTCCCCTCCCCTGTGCCGCCACATGTGGGCATCTGAGGGGGAATTTTAAAATAAGTAATGGTGGTGGGAAAATCACTACCGACCCCCATTCTCTTGGCAGTGGGTGGGGATATTTGTTAAAATAAACAGGGGATGACATCTTTATGTTCCCACGCCCCCATGGTCAACGGGTAGGGTTTATTATAATATAATAGATACATTTTAAAAAAACTCCCAGTTTTAGTATTATTATTATTGTTCTTATAACATGAGTAATTAACCAAATCCTTATTTACAGCAAACTATTGCTTACTAAGAAGGGCTATTTAGCTTAATAACTGTCATATATATATTAATTGTCATGCATGGACTTTGCAGCAACATAATACTTTTATGACTATAGACAATACACATTGTTATTATTATATTTCGCAGAAGCAGACATACATACCATATATCTACCACTAACAGACAAGCAGACAAACACAGCAGATTTGGGAAGAAATGAAAATATCCATCTACTTAGAGATGAACACACACCAGATTTGTTCAAGAATGAAAAGCTCCTCCTGTGGTTAATCATTTCATTAATTTACTTTCAGTTCTATATGCTATCATCTTGTTTTACTTCAGGAAGCAACGTCCAGATGACTTTAGTTAAGTCTATCTGTGGTTTCCTGACAACAACAACAACAAAAAGAGTCTACATTACCATGCTGTACTTTGCCTTGTAGGATATGTATGCCAACTTTCCTGGCAAGAATGACTTGGATAAGAAAAAGAAAATTGTTGTAAAAAAATAGTGGCAGGCTAAAGAACACCAAGGATTGGTTCAACATCACCAGCAGTATTCAGAATATTCTGGTTCTCTGCAGAGCATGGCATGGAAACTAAGGAGACTAAGGAGTACAAAAATTAAATATGCATGGTTAATGGAACACCTCTTGTTTCAGATGCAGAATATATTATTGTAAAATATTGAAGCAATTTCTAAATAAATCTTGTTTTTGCTATATTATTATGCAAGAGAAATGACAAGTATATATTTATATATGCGATCCAGTCTTCAATCATCTATAGTTTGACCCACCTTATCTTCTACACAGCTCTGCAAACCTTTTGAGGAAGATCTAGACTATAGCTCGGAGCAAGAATCTGTCACAACCCTTCAACATGTGGAAGCATTCCTGATATTTTGCTGGTTTTTTTTGTACTAGTGTAAACCTACCTTTTGAGACACCATCAAAACTCTAATTTAATTTTTATTTTGAAATCCATTATATTTGTAATCACATCAGAGGTTCACTTTTAATGTTGTTTTACCACAATGAAAATATATTTTATCATTATTTTTTTTTACTTTTTTATGATTTTGAAATAAGTTCACCCACAATAAAAGTGTTATGACACCCGATTCTCACAGAGGTAAAGGGATTTTGCCTAATTATTTTTTATTACCTTTTTGAAAAGAATGTTCTTAAATCCAGTATCTTCTGTGAAGTTTAAAGGTAACTGGGACTACTAAAAATAGTTTGCTTACGTCATGTAGTTTATAAATCGGAAAAAATAAGATGTAATACATTTATAGTTCTATTGTACATAGATTGTATATAGATCAAAGATTGTATCTATTGTTTCTTAAATGATTTGCTCCATATGTTTCTCCCTCTCTCTGTCTCTCTTGCCCTCTCTCTCTATATATATATATATTTAAATATATATATAAAAGTGTAATTCCATACTTAAAATGATTCCTCAATGAATTACTCACACTTTGTTTTTTCCTAAAATATCAGTAATACTGTATTAACCTATATGACAGGATTCCATTATTTCCAAAGACAGAGATATCAAGAGAGTAAAGGTTTCGATAGCAGTGTGTATCATTGTGATAACTGGGGCACAGTGCTAGGCACTTGAACAAAAACTTATTCATAGTCTTGCAATGAATTAAAGTGGTGTCCAATGACTACACTAATGAAAGCAACATTGCACAGGAATGATCTTTCAGCACACAAAGAAATGTGGGATGAAAATAAATCCATTTCATGTAATGCACCTTATAGTTAAAAGCTGACTGTAATGAAGATATATGAATTCATTTTTTCTCGATAATAGCACTATTCACATGTTGACTAATAATATACCAACCCAGCTGCTAGACTTTATTGATAGCAACATTACTCAAAACTTGATATTATTGTTCTTTTTTTCAAGTGATATGTTGTTCACTGTGCCTTATGCTATGTTATGATTGCATATTTCCACTTCTCCACTATCTTCTGTGTCACCATCAACATAGTTGGATTCTCTTTTTGTCCATTTTTAAATATATAGCTAATTTACCTTTTGGTATCTTACCTCAAGTCATCTAATGTGTTATATAAAGTTAGGCACACAAATAGCCTATATGGTTTGTTGATATTTTACATTTTCAGTACTATGTATGATAAAGATAAAAGTTGTGTAAAGATATGACGGGGAGGAGTCACCAATGAAATATGCCTGTTGGTCCCACCAGGCTCTATGGTGGTTGTCCAATATTTAATACTTTGCACCAGTTTTCAGAACACAATGCTAAATGTATCCCAATGTGCCATCGAGATTAACTTGATATAACATTAAATCTATCTATCTATCTATCTATCTATCAGACAAAGGACAAGGAATTCGTAGACCAGTTTGGAGCAGGATGATTGTGATTTGAAGTTTACGTGAGGCTTTATTTCATTGTGTGGGGTAACAGCACTGTGATGGATCATTGTACAAAAACATATATGAAACATATTTGAAAAGGAAAGACTTCAGAGGTGAATAAACTAAGTTGCTGATCAAGGATCTAACAGTGATAAAAACTTCCAAAGTCTACATGAACATTTTCATTAAACAATCCAAGGAGCTCTCAAGCCATGTAGTTTGCTACAAAAAATATCTGCAGGTTTTTTTTATAGACAAAACAGTTACATTCACTGACCACAAACCTAATAGTATTCTGTTGGGCGAATGCCTATAAAAAAAATATACTTGGTAAGTATGAATGATTTTTTCAGTTTATTACTTAGAGGTATATTCAATAAACACCACATTTTAACAAATTGATATCTGAATTTCAAAATGTAGATTAATGTATCCAAAATAGACATATAGCTGTGTTGGAGAATGTTTCCATTCAGTCTGAAATCCACTAAAGTTTGATGTTCTAAAACATCTACATAAACTACATAGGTGTCATATTACCTGCCATCTGACCATTATCCTCAACATGCCAATATCTCCTCTTTGGTCAATTCTGTGGTTAATTCTCAAAGACTTGGTGAACCCACTCGTTATTGCTCTGTGCCACATCCAAACTCTATTGCTGCATACATTATTAACTACAACTGGCTCCTGATATCAATTTTCTGTTGCTGAGCAGGGGAATATTTTTGTTAAACTTTGTATCACAGTGTGGAACTCACAATAGTAATTTCCTGAACAAAAACCTCATGAGATTTGTTTGTGTAGATGAAGACAATATTTTGTTATTTCAGATCACAGCTGCAATTTACAAAGGGAAACAGCAATGGATTCTTCATCAGTGTTCCTCTACCCATCCCCCAAAATCATTTTTATTTTCACATACCATGTACAAGATCCACAAAAGCACAGTCTAACTATAGACATGATTGCGTAAAAACAAAGCCTTTTTAATAACACCTATAATAAAGATGTCCAGGTTTTGTACACATAAATATAAATCTGCATACTTGTGACTATCATTTTCACTTTGCAACATTTATTTTGCACAGTCTGAACATATTATAGCTCAGAAATATAAAAGTAAGCTACAAATAAATGTAAACACTTTGTAAAACATTTCCATACATCTTTTGTAGTAACAACCAGAAATGGTCATTTAAATTGCTTCTATATTTTGTGCTAATTGTTATATTACTGTTTTTATCATGCAGTGGCTTTTTGAACTGGGCACAGTAGAGTTTATCTATCTGCAACAATAATGATTAATTAGCAAAGTATCTAATAACAATTGGCTGCAACTCTTTTTTTTCCATGATTTAAAATACCCCACTACACATTCCCTCACCCACAAACAGCAAAGACGGTTGACTCACCTTCAACTAGATTGCAAGCTTATACTAGCAGCATATTCAATTAATGTGAATCAAGATGTGTCTTTATGTGTTATACAATCATACCTACCAAGTGTCCCTATTTAGGAGGACAGTCCCTATTTGTGGCCCAAGTCCCTCTATCCCTCTTTTCTATCCAACTGTCTTTTCTAGAGCTCCACATTGTTGGCCTGATTGAGTGTATAATAGATCTCCACAGCCTTAAAATTCACAATTATATGTCTTTGTACTACAATACAAGTGATTATTAATCAGTCTTTGGAGATAAGATGCATTCTTCTTGCTATTTTAATGGCATTTTATTAGCATAAATTGTTATTAGAAAGTCAACGGAAATGTCTTAGAACAGCTCTGCCCCTGGCCAGACCCCTCCCATCTGAAATGTTGAGAGGTGTTTAATGTTATGCAATAGGATACACAAGTCAATGTATAGGGAACTGTGTTATATGATATCCTATGCTGATGGCTTGTTATTAATAAAAATGTATGAATAAACAAATAATCAGATGTGAAACAGGGAACTGAATAATATGTATTTCTTAGCAGTGCTTCTTCCTTCCTTGTGCTTGTATTGGGTTAGTTAGTGCTTTGTAAAAATAGATCCAAACAAAACCAAATAATAGTTATATTCTTTTAATAAGAAATATAATATCTCAAACAATGAAACAATTTTAAAAATGTATGTTTGTGCCAAGGTGCCACTACATCAGAGACTACTGCCACCTCTGCACAAAACACCTATCCACTTACCTAACCTTACAAAATCCAACAAAAGGAGCTACTGGGCAAGGAGGTAATACCTTTCGAGTCTAGATGGAACTTCCTCAGAGACCGCTGCCACCTAGGCATTAAAACCACATTTTAAACTCTGCCCAAAGGCCTTCTACTTCCGTAAACTACCATTCCATATCAAGACATATGACAAACAGGCTGAATCTGGCAGTAACCCTGTTGAACTGATAAATGGATACAAGTATCCATCATATATTGCTGGCAATTAGTTATTTTTGGAAGTATCTCAAAATTATAGAAAATTAATTTTTTGGGGGGTCATTTAGTCAGAAAAATAAAATAAAAATTAATATTCTGCGAATGACTCATTATAGTCATTTAGTTAAAAGTGTACATGGTGTATGTAGCGGAGAGCTGGTATTACACAGCCTGTCTCCACTTTAGATCCCAGGGAGGTTCAGGAACGAGCAATTTTAAATCCATAGGGTAAAGTATCCAGCAGGCAAAATAACACAGCAGTATCCCAACAGCAATCCCAATAACTGGACGACACACAGTATCAGGAGCAGAACTAAAGATTTATTCACACAGTCGCCTTATAAAGCCTGCTCCCATGCAAGGGAGGGATTTCCATTAATTTGTACAGTAGCCAATCCTGCTCTGGTAACCTCCCACACATCTCCTCCCCTCAGCCTGCATCATAATCCCCTTATCCAGCACACCAATTCCCCCCGTTTCTGGATGTACCCCTAAACTTAGGGGTACCACTTTAAATTATACATCCCCTGGTAGCCCTGATCTGGGTGAACAACATATCCAAAAATCACCCAGATCAGACCAGGGGTTCGGGAAATTCATGGAGGGAATAAAATGACCGACCGCACTGGAGAGAACAGACGAATGGGGTTCCATGCGATGGGGCCCTGTGGTCGGTCCTGGAGTAAGGGAATAAACTGCATGAAAGCCTCTAGCTACAGAGACTAGGGAGGGTTTGCCTGAATCCCCTCGTTCGGTTGTTTCTATCTACCGAACGAGGGGCCGTTCGGTAGTTTGGAACCGAACGGACCAGGCTTGTGGAGGCCTCAGCGGTGTTCGCCTAGTCGAGTGCCCGATTTGAGTTCCAG